ATACTACACCAAATAAGGTTAAACAATATCTCAATAAGACCAATAAAACAACAAAAACCTAAATGGTCAAAAAAAAATTAAAACAACTCAAATCCACCGAACAACAACAAACTATTGTTCAAAGGAACAGTCCAACGACAACGTAACAGCGGAAAAGAGGCACTTTCGGTGGCCATTGCTTCCAAACGACGGAACGACGAAATGTGCTCCAGTGAACGACGTCGGTTAGCGAAACGATCATTAAAGGATGCTTCTGCTCACCGCGATGCACTTTTGTTGGGTGCTCCTTCACTCTAAGGTTCTCTCCAACCCAAACTGATATTTTATTTTTGAAATCGCAAAATTAAGCCCGCTACTTCAAACCCTGCACTTCAATTCTACCTCATTTTCAATTTTTTTAAACATTTTCCACATGCACCAATAGGGGAACGACAAGTGTCCAATGTCAAAAGTTTGTCAAAATTAGGTGTCAAAGTATCACTATCCTTGCAACATTGCTCTACAAATGTCATTAATACGTGAAGAAGATGATTGTTCTGTCTCAAACCAATTGAGCATGCACTTTCTACTCCACCAACTATCAGTGGCTCTATAAATGTAACAACCCCTTCTAATGAGGGATGGAAAAATTGATCAGAAGCTTGGAATCATTTCATTCAACTAGAACCTAAATTTGATAAGAGGGCTTAATGCAAGTATGATGATATCTTTATTCGATATGAGAAAGGAACAACTTAAGTGTGTAACCATGTGTTGAGATGTTCAAATAACCCCAATAAAAAAGTAAACATGAGGCAAAAAGTAATGCATCTTCAACCATTGATGGGAATGTTAACTCCTTCTTACGGTAGATTTGATCAAGAACTTTGTCATGAAGAACTATAGTAAAAATGTTTGTGAAAGCTAATCTCCCCTTTCGTTTTGTAAATGATACTTTTAGGAGGTACTTAAATGTTTTGCAACCAAGATTTAAGATCCTATCATGCTATACCTTATCACATAATATTGTAACATTATGGAATGAAAAGAAGGTATATTTAAATAACTTTCTTTCTCAACATTGTCAAAGTTTGTCTCACTATTGATACATGGACTTCACCTCAAAACCAAAGTTATACGTGTTAGACAACCCACTTCAATGATGATGATTGAAATTTGTACAAAATGATTTTGAATTTTCATCAAGTGATAAGCCATATTGGAGAGACCATGGCTAAATTTGTTGAGCCATGCATGCACGAATAGGGTTTAGTTGTGTTTTGACCTTGATAGTAGATAATTTACATCAAATGATACGGGAGTTCAACACTTGAAAAAAAGACTATTGTTTTGGATTAACTTGGTTTTGAAAGACAACTATATTCATATGCAATGTTGTGCACATATTTTGAATTTAATTGTGAATAGTGGGCTAAAAGATATTGATAACTCTTTCAAGAATTCGTGATGCAATAAAAAAATATTAGATAATCTCTTTCTAGATTCATGTAATTCAAAGAGTGTGTTGAAAGAAAAGTATTAAACATAAGGGTCATATTTGTTTAGATGTTGAAACTAGAATTCAACCTATTCGATGTTAGATGTTGCATTCAAACATAAAAGACATTTGATGAACTTGAGTTTCAAGATACAAAATATGCTAATGAGTAATGAAAGGGGATTGAATTGCCTTCTTATGAAGATTGGGAATATGTTAAGTCTATTATACTTTTTTCGATATTTTTTATGAAGCTACTTTGTGCATCTGATAACTTTAGAGGTGGTAGGAATTTGAAATGGGATCCATCATTTTCTTAAGTCCAATGGTACAAATAGTGTTACATATATAAGATAGCTAAAAAAATGAAAAAAAAAGAAGAGAAATATTAGGATGAACCTAACAAGTTCAATATGTTATTTTTAATTATTGTTGTTTTACATCCTATATAGAAAATGAGTTATATGTTGGGCAATTGGTAAATTTTTTTATCCTGACTGAATATTTCCTTAAAGTCGTTGTTTAATGAATATAAACATTGAAACAAAAGAGTTGAAAATGACATAAAACAATACATGCAGTAATATCTAATTATAAGAGCTATTCATATGGTTGGAATAAATTTTTGCAAACAACAAGATTAACCTCTTCAAACACATCTAAGCTTCAAAAGTATTTAGACAAAGAGTTTGATACAACTGCAAATTTGAACATTCTTAATTGGTGAAAAATTAATTCATCCTTTCAAACATAACATCAGAGTTATTAGCTATGCCTATAGTAGCATCTGCATTAAGGACAAGAGGAATAGTGATTGATTGCTATCGTAAGTTTTCATCACATAAAAAGTTTGAGCCACTTATATGTACATAAGATTGGTTAAAAGATACACCTTTACCATCATTATTATATTATGATTTTTTTTTAATGCAAATGTATGGTTTACTAAAATCAACACTAATTAATCCAATCATAAAATTTTAAGCCAAATGGATTAACACGGTGCTTTCATATTTGGTTTTATACTTGTAGGTACGTTTGTCGTGAATGGGTTTTTGGTATGGAGATGGATATAATGATAATATTATGAAGGGATAAAGTGGAAAAGGCTCTAAACAGGTAAGTTATTAGAGGATGAGAAGGGTTTGAAGTGAAAGGAAAATGCAATGGAGTTATGATAATATTATTTTTTCTCTTTTTATATCAAATATCGTTCTAATGCTTTCTTCTAGAGATTATCTGAATGAAAATTGAATATTTGTTCCTCTTTTGTTTGACTTAATCATCTTGTTCTAATTGAATTTTTTTTCTTACTTATCATTTGTTATTTTATATAAATATTGTGGAACACTTCCCAGACATGGCAAAAAAATAGATTTAGAAGCAGTTTTATGTCATCTAATTACAGTTTGCAAATATTGAAGGATGTAAGAGTCACAAAAGATCATAGGTAGAGAAGTACTTTATGGGAATTATATATGAACATTTATATGATTTTAGTTTTTTCTTAATGTGAAGAATTTTATAATATATTATTTCTAATCTTTAATATATATATTTTTTATATATTATATAACATTTTAATATATTTATGTATTAGATGAAATAGTTATTTCATTTTTAAAATATAAATTTAAAATTAAAATTAAATTTATAAAATATTTAAGTTTCATTAGAAATGGGTTTAAAAATAAATTTGGATTCCCAGCTTCATCAAAATATTTGGATTTAAAATTACAATTTTATCCAAATATTTGGATTTGAACTTTTAAAAAAATCCAAACTAGTTTTGTACCATAAGTAAATTTGAATTCAAAATTTGGTTTACATATTTGAATATAGATGGGATCGAGATTTGATTTTTAAAAATTCAATCCATGCTTAGACCGAAGATCGAATATCATAATGATGTTTATCATGAGTTTTTTTTTTTTAAGAAACTACTTTTAGAATATTTTATTTTAAATTATATCTTTTTTTTTCAAAAAATATTTATTTTGAACATAAAATCATATTTCTATATAAAAATGACATTTTGATATATTGTATTAAGCATCCTTTAACTTATAGAAAACAATAACGTCTTTTAATGTTCAAGTGTTTATGACAAGTTTGCCATGATCTTATTTACAGATAGTTTTATCTCTGAAATCTGTAATTTAGGAGTTTGATCTCATAATATAATATTATTTACAGATAATTTTATTTCTTAAATTTATAGTTAGAATTTTGACCTCAGACGTTTAGTAACTTTATCTGGAGTTAACTGTTTATAATATTATTTGCAAAATATATATTACATAAGATATGATTTTCATGGAAAGCTTCAAAATCTGCTAGTTTGTTTTTCCACACCTTAGAAATTAGATATATAATTAGTATGTAAGTACGAGTACGTTGAGTGAAATTTAATTTTCTTAATTTATGATAAAAGGATTTATTTTAATATTTGTATTCATCCATCTCATTAAAAACTTAGGAAATGCTTATATGATTACTTTGAATTCATAATCCAAGTACTTTGTTGATAATGAAAATGAAAAGCAATATTGGTAATGATAAAGTCTTAATGAAAGTGGAGGTTTTATTTGGGCTTATTACTTTGAAGAGTAGAAGAACATCGCCATTTTAAGTTACAACAACAATAATTAGACCAAAATTTATTTAATATGGAATATTACCATGTTATTGTTTTAAAATTATCCCTAAACAAACCTGAACATCAAACTTTTAAGGAATACATTTAGTGATAACTTTTTTTATAAGATTCATATCCTTTAATTTAAAGAAACCCTAAACAAAGTAAAGAGTTTATTCAATGGAGAGAAATCCACGTAGCTTTGCCGCATCTAAGCTGACAAAGAATTAAGTAAATAAAGAATTTATCAATGTTTCTAATTTTGATATATATCGTGTCAGTGTAAATCACTAAAGAAATATTTCTGGAATTAATTATTACAAAAATTAATAAATTTGTTATATATATGGCATTCTTCCAGAAAATGTGAAAAATGTTACTATATAATATATTCAAATTAAATTATCATTTCACATTCATATTCTTTAAAAGGTTGTGAAGAAACGACATTAAAAATTGATATTTTTTTTTGTTGATGACCCCTTCGCTTACATCAAAATGTTTCATGAGCAAACTAGTAGATTAAGAAGAAATAGCCCTGAAAGGATAAAATATTTTTACATGTTATTGTTAACTGATTGTTCTGAAGAAAAGGAACTCAAGAGATGAACTAAAACAACCGAAGTCAGAACCAAAATAAGGTATAAAATTCCGAAGGTAAAAGTTTGACGGGTAAAAAAAGCCATTTTAAGAAGATATTCTCTGAACTCCTCTTATCTTTTTTTTTTCTCTTGTAATGAATATGGTTATGAGATGATGGTAATCCTTATATAGGGAATTTCTAACACAATTTGTTATACATGATTGAAGCTTTAGAATTAGACTATATTATTATTATTATTATTATTTAAAAAACATCACTAAATTTAATACTTATTGCATGGATCCGCATACTTTATTTACCAGTACTTGGTATGGCAAGTTTGTCTCATTTCCAATCTGAACTATCCTCCTTCAAGTTTAAGCTTTGCAAAAAAAAGAAAAAAAAAATCTAAGTTGTTTGACCTTTTGAGAATTTTTATTTTGATATTATTTACAAATTTTTCATCAACATGACAAAGAAAACGTGTCTATAGAGATACCGCTATGTCAGCTAGTCTTCCCATCAACATATTCAATACTTCTTTGCTATCTTTTCTGCGTTCATCCATCTCAGCGTTCTTTCTTTCAAATTCTTCTCTCAACCCTTGTATTTCTTCCTTTGTTCTTTTATATTCTTCCTTTGTTCTTTTAATTTCTTCCTTTGTTCTTTTAATTTCTTCCCTCAGCTCTTGTATTTCTTCCCTCAGCTCTTGTATTTCTTTTTTTGAGCCTTCCTCTTGCTTCCTTACTGAAAACACAAAAAAATAAATATAACCAAATAATAAAATTTAATATTTTTTGTAAAGTAAAAATAAATAAAAAAATTACCTGAATTTAGTTTTAGACAGTCTTCCCAAAGACTAGTCATAAACTTTTGTTCTTCATTTCTGTCCCTAAGAATCTTTTCTTTTATGAGGTGGCTGAGCTGTTCGAACATGGTTTCAAACTCAACACCTGTTGAACAACTCATTTTCTCCCGTGGTCGTTTTTCTTCTTCTATAAAAAGAAACAACTGTGGTCGTTCTTCTTCTTCTATAAAAAAGAAAAAGGAGAGAAAGTTAAAGAAAAGATAAAGAAAGTTTCAAAACCCCAATACAAAATCACATCAATTCTTCTCTCTTGCTAGTGACTTTCAATATCCCTTCCCATGCTCATTTGTTGACATCCCATTCATCAGCTCTGAAATGATTTCACTAATACAAAAATACAGGAATCACCCACTCCAAAACAGAAAAAAGAAAAGTCATCAGACTTCCAAAATCAGAAAACTCTGGTATCCCGTTAACTAAATAGTCACCGATGAGTATATACTACCGCCAGAATAGTTCAAAGGTAAGCTAAACAACATGGGTGGAATTTTGCACCAACACCATACTAAATATGGTAATACGTAAAATTTTCAGCAACCATAGACAATAATAATATCTGAACAACCTAAAACAAAGTCTCCAAAGGCTATAATCACAACCAGCATTAACCATACCAAACAGCCAAATAAAAGTCCATTATGCATGTCAAATTGCTATGTACAGGTTCTTGATGCTCATAGCAATACCTTTATATTCATCCAAACAGATAAGAGAGAATATTATATAATCATTTCACACAAAATGAACATATCTAACCTATTCTCAAAACAATATCAACCATCACTAATGAATATAACATTCATAACCGAATAGTACAATATGGAATACATCAGGAAATTCATCAACAACAATCTATAGATCAGTCCATAACAGAATCACTCAATATAAACAGCATAATATGACCTGTAGAGTCTAGGTACTCATAATACATCATCTACACACAGGGTCATGGGTTTGAATTAAAATAATGGTAACTTATGAATGTCCCTACAACACTAAACATCCATCCAACCATACCTAACCAGTACCATTTCAAATACATTTTTATTCAACTTTAAATACTAAATCGACTATAACTACAAAATAACCTTCCATAATCCAATAAAATATAGATTCACTCAAACCGAAACCCAAAACAATTTGATACATTCACAGGTTCATACATCTAAGTATAATTAAATTAAGATTACAATATAATACCTTGCAGCCATCTAGATAATACTTTTAATTCACCACCGATATCTAATTCCTAATTTCATATTATTCTTAACCAATTCAGATTATATTTCCATCACCAAACAAATGTATCCCGTATGTAATGAGTTCAAACAGTAACATCTACACAATTCATACCAACTGCATCCACATATTATAAAACAGATCAACATGGTTTTATCTACCAAACATAAGCATTACATACACTAGATTAGAGAACAGAACAGAACATCCCATTTCACATCAAACCCCTACTTACACTNTAAAATATAAATTTAAAATTAAAATTAAATTTATAAAATATTTAAGTTTCATTAGAAATGGGTTTAAAAATAAATTTGGATTCCCAGCTTCATCAAAATATTTGGATTTAAAATTACAATTTTATCCAAATATTTGGATTTGAACTTTTAAAAAAATCCAAACTAGTTTTGTACCATAAGTAAATTTGAATTCAAAATTTGGTTTACATATTTGAATATAGATGGGATCGAGATTTGATTTTTAAAAATTCAATCCATGCTTAGACCGAAGATCGAATATCATAATGATGTTTATCATGAGTTTTTTTTTTTTAAGAAACTACTTTTAGAATATTTTATTTTAAATTATATCTTTTTTTTTCAAAAAATATTTATTTTGAACATAAAATCATATTTCTATATAAAAATGACATTTTGATATATTGTATTAAGCATCCTTTAACTTATAGAAAACAATAACGTCTTTTAATGTTCAAGTGTTTATGACAAGTTTGCCATGATCTTATTTACAGATAGTTTTATCTCTGAAATCTGTAATTTAGGAGTTTGATCTCATAATATAATATTATTTACAGATAATTTTATTTCTTAAATTTATAGTTAGAATTTTGACCTCAGACGTTTAGTAACTTTATCTGGAGTTAACTGTTTATAATATTATTTGCAAAATATATATTACATAAGATATGATTTTCATGGAAAGCTTCAAAATCTGCTAGTTTGTTTTTCCACACCTTAGAAATTAGATATATAATTAGTATGTAAGTACGAGTACGTTGAGTGAAATTTAATTTTCTTAATTTATGATAAAAGGATTTATTTTAATATTTGTATTCATCCATCTCATTAAAAACTTAGGAAATGCTTATATGATTACTTTGAATTCATAATCCAAGTACTTTGTTGATAATGAAAATGAAAAGCAATATTGGTAATGATAAAGTCTTAATGAAAGTGGAGGTTTTATTTGGGCTTATTACTTTGAAGAGTAGAAGAACATCGCCATTTTAAGTTACAACAACAATAATTAGACCAAAATTTATTTAATATGGAATATTACCATGTTATTGTTTTAAAATTATCCCTAAAAAAACCTGAACATCAAACTTTTAAGGAATACATTTAGTGATAACTTTTTTTATAAGATTCATATCCTTTAATTTAAAGAAACCCTAAACAAAGTAAAGAGTTTATTCAATGGAGAGAAATCCACGTAGCTTTGCCGCATCTAAGCTGACAAAGAATTAAGTAAATAAAGAATTTATCAATGTTTCTAATTTTGATATATATCGTGTCAGTGTAAATCACTAAAGAAATATTTCTGGAATTAATTATTACAAAAATTAATAAATTTGTTATATATATGGCATTCTTCCAGAAAATGTGAAAAATGTTACTATATAATATATTCAAATTAAATTATCATTTCACATTCATATTCTTTAAAAGGTTGTGAAGAAACGACATTAAAAATTGATATTTTTTTTTGTTGATGACCCCTTCGCTTACATCAAAATGTTTCATGAGCAAACTAGTAGATTAAGAAGAAATAGCCCTGAAAGGATAAAATATTTTTACATGTTATTGTTAACTGATTGTTCTGAAGAAAAGGAACTCAAGAGATGAACTAAAACAACCGAAGTCAGAACCAAAATAAGGTATAAAATTCCGAAGGTAAAAGTTTGACGGGTAAAAAAAGCCATTTTAAGAAGATATTCTCTGAACTCCTCTTATCTTTTTTTTTTCTCTTGTAATGAATATGGTTATGAGATGATGGTAATCCTTATATAGGGAATTTCTAACACAATTTGTTATACATGATTGAAGCTTTAGAATTAGACTATATTATTATTATTATTATTATT